CGGTCTTAGCAGTTGGTTTCATTTTCCCAGTTATGTACAGCACCTGGAGTCCCATTCCTCCTGCGTCACTGAAAAGACTCTTTGTCAAACGCTTCCATGCGCAAAGCAACTTCGTGCGCTTCAGCGAACATTGACGGCAACCTCGGCTGACGAGCTACTTTCCACAGGCGTCACGTAGCGCATCATTTCAAGTTGCTCTGATCTCAGTTTACAGAACCCTGTTTTAACGCCACTATTTATTGTGCCACAGATTCATTTGCGTTTTCGTTACGGTGCTGGAAACAGAAACGTTCAGCAATAAGCAGTGGCTCAAAAAGGTTCCCAATAACAGCTATTTCATCAAGAGTCCCCTCCTTCGGTTTCTGTGGCTGTGCCAAGTTCCGTAATTTATGGGCATCCATCACAGTGCTTTTATTTAATCAGTGCTATGCAAAACTGTTCCACACATTCAACATAAGCGGACTGTGGTTCAGCTTCAGGCCTGAACTCAACAATTCTTCTAAATCGAGCCACGCCTCATTCACTTACTGTATCTGTGCTTTCAGGTGCTGCTAACATCTGAGGAGTTCTCTTGCTTGACCAAAGTTTTTTAGCGCCCTCATCAGGCAGTGATGAGGCACCAAGCTGGCAAGCAGTGTGCCTGGTGATGTCAGCCCCAGGAGAGCATGCTGGGATAGATACTGTAGTAGCTTATTTGGGATAGCTGGGAGATATCAGGGACATTGTTAACTGGGTGGGGGGGGGGGGGACTGGGGTTTTGTGTACATGTTATGTGATCATATGAGTATGGCTGTTCCATGTTTCCCCATCCTGCTCTGATTAATAAAAGTTCACTTACATTCTCATTCTTCTGTGTGTTTATTGTCCATCTTACAGTATCCTCATCATCAATATTGTTATGCATTGATGCAAGCAGAGATAGAATTTACATTATATTCAGGGAATGTTTCTTTTTATTATAAAACCCCCAGCTATTAAAATAATTTCTGGAATGGAACAAGTTAAGGTTTATTCCTTGCTGAAAAGAGAAGAAAGGAAACACAATGTTCTCAAATTTTCTACAAAGGGTTATCACTACTCCCTGCAGCATCCACTTCAGAAACACAGATTGGTGACAGATTCAAAAACAGCCTTCTCTAAGAAAACGTTTCTAGCAACATCTTTGTCCTGGCTTTTAACTTTCCAATTCTCTCCTTGACTTGTCATGACTCATCACCATCATGTAAGTATGAGGAATCGGGCAGTTGTGACCAATCATCAGCATCTGTATTTTGCTCCCCTGAGCAGTAGAGAATGTCAAAATTGTACAGCAACAGTGCTGCAAGCCATCTATGTCCTGTGTCATCTAATGTGGAAGTACCAAGCACATAGGTGAGAGGGTTGTTATCTGTGACTAATCTGAAATCACAATATCGATAATCAAGAGGCTTGTTGAGGACAGCCCATTGGAAAGAAACTCTAATTTGTGAGTTGTGTGTGCCACAACAGGAGCCCTTACATACTTAAAGACTTTTGTGGGAACCGGAGAACCGTCATCTGTGGAGCGTCTTGACGATATTGTTCACAGACGTGGTTGCACAGACACAGCATTTGTTGACATTTGATGGTTCCCTAGACCTTGACCTTTCTCACCACAGTTATAACAGAAGGGGTTCAGCTTCACCACTGCACATGCTCGATCCTGCTGCTCATTCACCTGATTCTGCAGACCAGCCCATGGAAAGCACCTGTTCAAAGGTCGAGTTCTTTTCAGAAGACTGGAGTGACCAAATGTAGCGATACCACCCATGTTGTTACAGTTCGCAGTTCCATTGCTCGCTTCAGGCATTTTATTACTGGAGGAAGTTCTTGATTTTAATCATGGCTTGAGAGACAACCCCTGTATTTTGTGTGACGCAGTCAAAAGCCTTCATTGAAGATAAGTTTGCAATGCTTATCTACATAGACCATGTCTTAGTAATATTACTACATTTTCTGATTGGACATTGTGCCAAATTTCTTATACATAAATCTAGGCAAAAGTATAATTTTAAAGGTACTATAGTTGATCCATGCCTTTAGTTTTGAGATGAATGCATTGCTTATTTTCCTGCCTGTGTTTTATTGTCAAATAATATGCAGACAAACTTCACTTTTGCCCTTTTTAATTTTAAGCAAAACAAAAAAGTTTTAAACACACAGGAGGATTGTCAGAGAGCTCTGCATCTACACTTTGTCCTACAGAGGCAGTTGTATTGGAGACACCTATATCCCTCTCTGGACTAAACAAGCCAAGTTTCAGGACATAACAAAGGTAAATCATCCAGCATGGATAGCTTCCATCCTGACTTTTAGCTGACACTTTGGCCCCAATTCTGCTTGAATTGATAACCTAATACCATTAGAAAGGTTCATTTTGGAATAATGTTAACACTGCAGTTCTATAACCAATATAAAAAGGCAAATAATCCTGCACTTTCTGTGAGCTGTTGTGCCTTCTCTCTGATTTTCTTAACTTGCTATGCTGTATGCCAAGGTGCTATCACACCAGCTGGATGTCTAATGATGCATGATAAGATCTGACGCCTCCAATGAATTACACACCCTGGTGAAGACATTGTTCTTTCATTGTATGATCAGGTTTTTGATCAGTTTCACTGGAAATATCTACAGTATAGCTGGTCAGAGATGGATTTTGGTTAAGGTTTTATTACAATGATCAAAACTTTAGATGCCATTCTAATTGTAGAGGTGATGTTGCTAAACAGGCAATAATCACTCCTACTGCTCTTTCTGGGGCACTCAGGGATCACTCTTTCAGTCTGAAACAACCAGCTTGAACTGTTCATAACTCTGTTTCTGGCCTTATTTCTGCCTCATTTGCTATTTTTTATCATTCTTCCTTATGTCCATGCTTATAGTTGTATGATTGCTTTTTCTTTCCCATTAGGGTATTGGAATAAACTGCATACTAGAATTTCAAAATTCATATGAAGGAGGGGTCATGTAGGGTACTGAATTCTCCATTCTGCAGGACAGGACAGGACACCTGAACTCTGCCAAACCTTAAACTTTATTTCTTCTCCTTTGTTTTGCATTCACTGTTGGGTTTAATCTAAATTCTCCTTAACCTGGCATCCACTTAAAGAAAGTCTTATCTCTCTGTTATACACCTCAACTTATGTAATACCTGAGGCAATTTAGATTCTTTTTTGGCAAAGTACAGCGGTTAGGCAATTATGACTTGGCATTTAGTGAAGACTATTTCTCTACTTCACTTTGATGTGACTTGGTTTCTTGCAACCTCTTTCCACAAATTGCAATGTCAGTCTAACTCACTTGCCCTTTTCTTATTGTATCTCAGTTTTTCTGCCCTTGATGGCCAGGGGACCAGGCCATCAAATACTGGACTTTCAGGGCAAAAAGGATTTTACTTTCACTGTTAGAGGAGTTGGCACACTGCTTCTGATGCAGAATATATGAACCAGAACTTGCTTTTCTTCATTACAGAACACTACACACACATGCATATTTTTTGTAGTGTCATTGCTATACTTCAAAGTCTGGGTAACTACCAAATGTCGATATTTCATTAATTGCATTAGACAACTTTCGTTTTGTGCTGTGAAAAGGTTTTTAAATAATATACTGTTCAAACTTAATCTCACTTGAGTTCCACTCTAAGTTATCAACTTCAAATCTTTACTTTGGTAAGCTGTAAATAACTTGCTGCATTTATGTCAGCATTTGATTTTGAGATTTTAAACGTGTCAATAAGTCACGTTTAAATTAGTCTATTGGAAAGAAATCATTTGAAGTGAGGAAATAAATTCAGTTTAAGTACAGTACATTAATTTACTTAACTGTAAACAACAAAGATGTGTAGAGTGAAATAAATCATTTGTACAGATTAGTTTCTACTGTACAGTACATGCACAAAACCAGAATGTATCCTGGCTCAGTGACTGGCATATAAACAAACCCAAAAGATTTGCCATTTTGCCATTTAACATAGTGAAGGAAATATGTATGTTTTTTTTATAATTCAAACATATTTTAATAAGCAGTTTGTACTTTCATAATGTATTATGTCAAATTAAAATCTAGCATTCTCTTGAGAACTCTTCTGAAAAAGGAATTTAAAAAAGGATGACTCATTTACACTACAGTATTACAGCATTAAGAGCAAGAGTTCTTCTAATGTATCTAAAAGCATATAAATACTCAACATGGCAAAACATTAGAAGCTAATGGACTGACGGAAATAATTAAATCTGCATATTTAACACTAGAGTTCCAATATGAATGAAAGCACTATCCAAACCACCTCTCAAAGGTATTTATCTACCATATGAAATCACTCCTCCTCAGCTAGAAGGTTGTGACTATCGCTTCTCCTAATGTAACCAACATTGTGGTAGCAAATGTGCATTCATTAGCAGCAGAAGTAATAACTGCGGACTATAAATTTCACATAAGCGTGGTCTTGCCACAGCGGCTCCTTGATGGCTGCCCGCTCAGAAGATGCCCCGTTACCTCTAACGCAGCACTGCTCCCATCCTCACGACATCGCTTGCCCGCGACGCCACATTCTGACCCCCTAGGTGCTCAGCTCCACCCATTCAAGCCGTGCCTGCTGTTCTGCAAGCCCCTCTTTCTGTGGCAAGGGCCGCTAAGGCTCCGTCTCCTGGCTCCATCTCTGTCCCGGCGACAGAAACTGTGCTGGCCAAGCCTGCCACCCAGGAAGCTGGTGTGGTTCCCAGAGAGAGGACGGTGGACTCTGCCCAATCTTAGCTCTGAGAAATCCCAACAGCCTCCTCAGAGCAGTGCATTTCGATATGCAACATGCACAAGCACATTCTCGGGTCTGTGCAGCCGTGTGGCTGGATCGTGACGGTAGTCCTGAAGGATGCTCACTTACAGTATACACCTAAATCCACCCACACCATAGGAGTTCCCTTCTGTTCTCCTCCCAAGGCAAAGTCTGTCACTCGCTACACATACATTTTCCAATCTCCAACTACATGCAGTAGATTTAATACACAGAAAAGTTATAACATAAATCAATTTTTCTTAATCGATAAAATGCACAGATAGAAGTTTTCTTTTTTTAAGAAAACAAGAACACATTATGCAGAGATATTCGCCCAGATACATAGAGATATCGTCATCTTAGTTCCATAAGCATCCTCCTGACAATACTGGAAGCTGACCACTGTATCTGGTCAGCTTACGGATTTTAATATCCATTACAGGTGCTATTTTTTCTGTATGCATCAAAACTAACAACACAGGAAACTAAGCATGCTTTTATTCTGATAGGCTCTTATTCCTGTTTTAGGGCCACATTTTACTCAATGAACAGATAATCAGATAATGATGTGGTGGGGGCATCAGGAAAGTGCTATAAGTCTTGTAAAACCTTAAAATGCAAATAATAAAAAAGCACTAATATCTGAGAAAGATATATAGTGGAAGTATACTTTTTTATATAAGTAGTAATATAGTATCTCTAGTACTACTTAACTTCCTTGCTTAAACGTTTAACCTCTGCTACAGAAATGATACATTTATTCTTAAGAACAAATACTATTTGCTTACATACAGGAAAGTGATATAGAGAGGACAATACAACAATACTATGGCCCAGGCCTCCATATTGCAACATGTTATGAGATCAATAACGCAAAAGCGTTTCATAGCCTTCCACAATAATACATGTAATGCTGTTCTTAGTAGTTTCTCTTCAGAACTGGAATTATTGACAAGTGCGCAAAACCATCTAAGAATAAAAGGAAAATGAAATAAAATAATAATGAAAAATGCATGTCCTTTAACACTTTATATTTCAAATGTGCATCTGATTTTTAAGTTAAACGACAGAATGCAGAAATTAAGTGTAATTTTTAACATTCAGACTCTTCATTTTTGCCCATATGAATTATGCATAAGCTGTACCAGAATTTGAAGTGGTTGAGCTTGAAACCATGAAACAAGGATACTTGTTACTTATGTCTAGGCTTGTTTGGTCAAAGATTACATCCGTGGATCTTCAAAATGCTGACACAAAAAAAATGGAAACTCAAAACTGAAAACTCATAAAAACACATGAAATCAGAGAACTTAGAAAGAAACAGCTATTCAATTTTCTATCTTGATATAATATGTCATAATATTACTAAATAAAATATTACGTTTATCAAAATAGAGTGAGAAAGAGATAACTGATGTATGACTATGTGAACAAATTATTTAGTTATTAATTGTTAAGCTATTAAATTTACTTTTTCTAATATTTTTTTTATTTCTTTGGTAAATTTTGAAATAATTAGAATAAGCATGCCTTAGTAAGTCATCTTGGATAATGTTTTCTGCCAACCAAACTTGATAAGAATACAAAGCACCTTTCAGGTTTCTTTCCATTTGTATTTCACAACATACTAATTGCTTAAAGTGAAGTACAGTTTATTCTTGGAGACAGTTTCTTTAAGATAAAAATGATCTTAGCTCTTTTTCCACAGCAGATGTCTTCCGAATTCAAAAAGCATCTATCTCGGATTAAGGCTGGTGTTGACAAGAAAATACAACAATACAAGTGCAAATAACATGGAATTTAAGGCTGATGCCTTACATTACTGAATAATTTAACTTCTCATTCAAGGTAAAGATGTGAGGTCATTTCTTCAAGTGGTAAAACGGAAAATTGTCTCTCGTAGCAAATAGTGTGTTCGGTTCTATTCTTCATCTTCCCTTTTTGTTCCGTTGTTTTTTGCTTTTTCCTCCTGCTTTGGCTGAGTCATCCTGTAAAAGAAAAACATCAGAAGAAAAAAAACATGATAGAATAAGAGACAGTACTCTGGTCATGTACTTCATCTCGAAAGAACATCGGCTTATTAAGATCAAACAGATGCATTGCTTTTTCAGACAAGACAACTAACATTCTTTAAAAAAACTAGTTAATCAAAGGAATAATTCTGTAACAGCATATAAAAAATAATTTAATTTATAAAATGGAAAATCATAAACAGAATTTTCTGTACTTTTTGTATTTTTTCCCCAATGTAATCCTCTCCTTGCTTCCAAGCTAATCGTCTGATTGTTAATGAGCAGAGCAATGAAATGGATAAAGTGATTATGATGTCCAGAATACATGCGAGGATGTGGATTATACATTTGTGTGAATTTGCATTAAATTTCAGCACACCATCTTTTTAGCTAAATCAAATTTACTGCACAAACAGCGAATGGTTAATCGAGGAGGGCGCGTAGCCAGGACACAGGGAGAGGGTCATACCGTCACTCCCGGGCTCTAAGAACTCAGTTGAAAAATACCCCGCACACAGGGCTGGGAACAGGGAACAGGCAGCAATTTCCTTTGACTGATGAGATTACTCACTTGAAAACTAAAGTAACACAGATTCTTATTCAATAATATTGAATTATAATAGCCCAGAAATGTTCTCACACAGTTTCATTGGTCCCTGTAAAAGAAAACATGTTGAGTTCTCAAAAGGTACGGATTTTAATTTGATTTCGAGCTTTCATTTCAAATGACCTTTAAACTAACAACTTGCCTTGTTTCATTGGTCAAAACAAAATTTGAAAACTCAGAGTATATTTTTGAAAATTAAATTGCTTAGAAAATTGAAATTGTTGATTAAAGGTAGACCAATAAAAACTAGTGCTCTCCTGAGTGAAGGTTGGATATTGATTACATCAACTGATCTTAAAAGTCAGTACTTTGAAATCGTGTTTAATTACGCACTTATGTAATTTCTAAAAACCCGGAAGAAGAAGAGATCAGATGATACTGAATTGTGTTCACAGTACTTTATGTGAAAATGAGTCCTCATTATATCATAGTCACATAATATCTAGTTTGGAGCTTAGCATGGACTTCTGGACAAATCCAGTTCATTACACATTTTTCAATGCCAAAAAATTTTTCAAAGTTTAAATTCACTTTCTGTACTTTTTCTCCATTGGAATTTTAGCATGTTGTGATGTTAATTTGCATCCATTTGTTAGCAATCAGCTTCTTTTTAAAAGCCTCTTTCTGATGGAAAGCTAATTACAAACACAAACATTAATTCATGCACTAACAACAATAGTTTCTCACAGATTCTGTCATAACATACGTAGCTAGGCTTAAAAAACAACATGAGGGCGCAGAAGGTTTAATAAACTTTGTTTGAAATAAATATGTATTTATAGGTTACAGAACATTAATGATGTTGTAAGCAATACAGGAACCTCCGAATTCCTCATTTGTGAAAGGGTCACTAGTGACATTATCTCTGCACTCATTCATCTGCATCACTTGATCAATGTGCTGTTTTTATTTCCATCCATGGAATATTCTGCATGCCTGCTACAACTAAATATTAATCTGACAAGGGTCAAGACTGCTAAAACTAATAGCTCTGCCTATTCTGGCTGCTATAAGTAATGGCATTCACATTGTTGCAGATGCTTGGTATTTGAAAATACCCTTCAGTGCACAGTATCGTTTTTTCCTATTGTGTTTATATAGCCCAAAGGATGCCACAGACACCAGGGATCTGGCAGTGAAAAGCAATAATTTTCATTTTCTGGATAACTGCGCTGCTGAAGCATAATTATTCATCATAGGAAAGATTCATTTTAATGACAGAATCATTATGGATTCTTTTTCTCATGGGGTACAGACAACTAAGTCTGCAGGCTACACAGCATGCCAGAGGAGTTCCCCCTCTAATAAAATATTCATGCTTGCGACAGTCAAACACTACCTCTGTGAACCACAGAATATGCGTGCAAAGAATACACATTTTAATTACAAAATTAATTTTGTTCAATCCCTGATAACCTTCTCATCCCAATGAGTATTTCTAGAAAATGTTAGATGTTATCTTCTGATGCTGTGCTCACTGAAGTGCACTGGCTTGTTTCCATAAGGCATCCACATTATTGCAATTACTGACAGTCCAAGGAAATGAATAAGACTGCAAAAGTGAACAGCTGAATGTTGATACTCTGTTATTGCAAAATTGTAACAATTACAGTTTTTGTATTAACCATGCATGTTCTTGTTTATGATTTTAGTATTGTTTGCATATTTGGAATAGAATTATTGCAAAGATTAAAAAAGATCTTAAAATATCACAAATTCATACAGTTAATACAAGTTAATACAATTTAAATATTTCTTATCAGCATTGTAAACAGCACTGCAATGGAATCTGTATAACTTTTGCTGAATAAAAAACACAGTCAGAAAATCTAAACTAGATTTGAATCATTATATGACAATGAATCCTTTTATCATTATGCCTCCAGTCTTTCATCTTTCAGTGTTTCCCTATTACTTGTCTTTCTCTATTTCCCTATGTGTGTACTATAAACACACATGGTATATTTATTTTTTCCTCAATTAATATATGGTGTATTTTGTCTTCTGCTCCCCATTGTCATGACATTGTGATCAATAGGAAGTATAGAATACAAATTAACTTTGGCTTTCACTTTTAAATTCACGATTCACAACACCAACCTGTACTTTTTAAGTTTACCTCTTCTAAGTCATTTGCAAAAAATTTCTGCATGGTTTGTTTCTTTATAGGTCATTCTGAATTAATTTTGAATTCACATACACAATGAAGCTACCGCCAGGTACAGGAATCAATGCTCTGACAAATTAACTGAAATTCACTGCAACACTCTAAAGCCAAAATTGAAAGGAAGATGGTCAATATATATATTGAGGTTTGCAAGGTCCTTAAAAAATCAATAGAAAGACTTTTTCAAAGGGACCTTCAATTGAAGTGTAAGAGAATTCAATATAGGCACTTACTGGCTGAGTATTAAGGAACTTTTGTTGAGTTAAGACTGTTGTTGGTGAAGCAGAGTTTTGTTCAAAGTAATTACAGCTTCAATTAAGCTGCCTCTGCCTACTGTCTAGAAATAAACATGGAAAAATAAGATCACATTCACCTCAGTAAGCAGCTTTTCACTATTCTGGTAACGGTACAGATTTACACCATATGCATTCAAATTGTCTACACACTGTGTCCGACAACAGACATTCAGTTATATGCAAGTGTTTGAATCGAGAATTGGTTATTAAATAGAAAACAGATGGTACAGATAAGGGGTGAATGCTCAAACTGGTGTGATTTAATTAATAAAGTACCGCAGGGATCTGTACTAGGACCCCTGCTCTTCTTAATATATATATATATTCATGATCTATTTAGTAAACGTGTCAACTTTGCAGAAAACAGCAAATTAAGAGGATTAGCAAACAGTGAATAGCCAATTAATAGAAACAATCAGAAAGGCAAACACAATATTAGGATATACTGTATAGTTAACAGTGTAGCAACTCAATCAAAGAATCTCATATTTAAATTGTATAATGCACTAATAACAATGCCTCATTTGGAAAATGGTACAGTTTGGGTCACTGTGTTACAGTAAAAATATTGGTGCTTAGTATGCAGTCCAGAAAAGAGCAACCAGAAACATTCTGGGGCTCAAGGGAATGTTCCACACTGACAGGCTGAAAAAAACAAACCTTTTTAGTCTTGAATGGGAATGACTGCTATGGGATTGGATATAAATATTAAAAATTCTGAAAGGCATAGGTAAAGTAAACACAGTCTTGTTCAGAATGAACAGTGAAACAGGGTCCAGAGGGCACCATTGGAAACTATGAGTGCACTTCAAAAACCATGAACAGGAGATACTTCTTTACCCTAAAGGTTGTTGGAGTTAGGAACAAGCTGCCCAGCCACGTAGCTGAAGTCAATACCCTGGCTTACTTCTTGAAATTAGCTACTAACCACCAAACAAGGTAGATGAGCTGAATGTTCTCATCTTATTTGTAACTGTTCTTATGTACGATATATACATATTTGTAGTTTATGTTCAAGTTATGTACTACTTACTGTATGTAGTTCTGTAATTATGCACTTTCTTTTTCTTATGTTCTTACACTTGACAATTCTTGTGAAAAAGTGCCTTCCACATAAAACAGCACCGGCATGTTCCATTATTTATCCCTAGGATAGTACTAGGAGGATTATGGAACCAGGAGTATGTTTCTGAAAAATGTCACCAAATATCTTATTCATCTTACTGCTTAACCACTGGTGTGTGTTTAGTCACTGGGCATATGATTACCATAACAGCATTATACAGGCACTCTTGTTATCACTCTTGTTAACAAACTCTGATAGCCTCAGGTGTGAAACAAAACATTAGTTTGACTTAATAATTCAAACACTGATGATATATTAATCCAGCTTGTTTTATAGTAATTCTTTATTTAACCAGGAAAATCAGCCAAAAACATGTTTTTGCTTACAATGACCCCCTGCCCAAGAGGAATATATTAGTGTGGAAAGACAAAACAATAAATGAAAATTAATAACATAATGGGACATAACAGAATACGACAGTAAGTGTTGAACAGAAACAAACTGCCCTTTGAAAACTTTGGAAGCTGTGCAAGAACTGGCTGCTTAAAACAACGGCATTCTTTTCTCTTAATAGCAACAAGGATTATTTCGGTGTACACTGGTGCAGCATCCAGAATTAAACCTAATTACTGTGATGGGTGCAATACAAAGTTCAATAGCACTCAAAAGTCACACAGATTTTCACATCTAGCAGATAAAATAAGAGAGGAGCAAATACTAATGAAATCAACATGTTTTAGTTGAGGAGTTTATTTTGGAGTGTTTGGTGACATATAACCTCTTTTACCCATAGAAGTGATCATTTTAAACATGAATGTTTTGTTTAAAAATACTCCCTTA